TTACTCTTGGGGCCCTTTTGGGGACTGTGGCACCTTGCTGGGGCTTCCTTGGGACTGAATGCCTTCGACGGATAAGGAGGTAACTATCCTCGCCCTTTCTGCGGTCTGAAAATACATCGTGGGGCTATCTTGAAGTGCTCTTGAGAACCTTCAGGCCCCTGCTTCAGCCTGCTCTGGCCGTCTGGAAGCCTCAGACACCCATCCGAAGCCGAAAAGGCAATCAGGCGAAGACCGTTGCAAAAGCTGTGTGCTTGACTGATTCGGGCCTCTCGGGCCATCCGTGCGAGGCCCAGGGTCCGCCTCAGAGCCTCAGAGCCGTCGGGCAACCTTCTGGAAGCCATGGTTCGGGCCATCTGGGCCAAAATGGGCCGTGTGGCCCAATCGTCGAGCTCGGAGCCACTACTGCTGGCAACCGCCCCCGTCCTGGATCAGGACTGGGATCACCCCCGAGGAGAGAAAGGCTCGTTTGGACAAGCTGATACGCTAAACATCGCTAAACGACCTACCGCCAGAGGACTGGAGGAATTACAAGGAAGGTAGTCGAGTGCCGGGGGACACGCATGTTAGTGGTCTACAAAGTTGTGATGCAATAGAGTTGGCTCAAATCGTATTCAGACGCACTGGGGAAATTTGAACGCGACATGGAAAGTGGCACTGCCGTTACCCGTGTGGTCCTTCCCCCTGGAGCGGTTATTGAATTTGTCACAGATGTCGAAGGAAATATGGAGTATCTGAACCGGATAGTATGTAAGTCATCTGTGCTGAGTTGGAGCAGTCACGTCGGAGATGAGAAGCGGCTCATATTGAAAGATCAGGCATTCTTTGTATTTGGTGGCGATGCTCCTGACAAGGGACCTGCTGACATTCGCATAACCAAACTTCTTGTGGAGTTGAAGCGAGAGTATCCGACCCGTGTGTTTTTGTTGGTTGGTAATCGGGATTGTAACAAGTTGCGCATGATGGCAGAGCTTTCGGATGGTGAAGTACCCGATGTGGATCCAATCCCATATTTGGACGAGGTCAGCTGGGAGGGTCCAAAGCAGAAGTATGCTCAATATTTGGAAGAGCGTTGCTTGGAAAGGGGGCCTCATAGCGGATTTCTCTGGCTGGCAGAGAAAACGTTTGGCTTGGGAACCCAGGCCATGCGGAATCGACGCATTGAGTTGGAAATCTTGGGGTTGCCAGCACAGGACATGGATGTAATAAACAGTTATCGTGCATTGGTAGACCCAGAACCTCAGAGCTACTCGAAAGTACACCCTTGGACACTTGAATATTTGCGGGTGGCACACGTCATGCTTGTCATAGGCGATTCTCTGTTTATTCACGGCGCAGTGCGCAGCAAGCATTTATTGTTACTCCCGGCAGAAGAGGTTCGTGATGGCTCCTTGATACGCCAGCCACCACCTTTGCGCCTGCCAAGCAGCACATCACCCGAGGAGTGGGCTGCGGAGCTGAACGCATGGAAGGATAGGCAGCTGCGGCTCTTCGAGGCTTTCCCACGATTCCAACCGCTCGGCCCAGAGCATCGCTGGCGTGGTGGGATGCCTCTGATGATGCCCAGCCTCTCTGGGTGCAATGTCCAGCTGCATTGCCGCGCGAATCCGCCACCACGCTCGGGCGGGCGCCGTGGGCAGGTAGGGAGGACCGGGGGGGTGCAGGCCTGGGGGCGCTTGGGGGGCGTATGGCAGGTAGCGCCCAACCCAGACGTTTTATTACTGCACCATCTCCTCTTCGGAAGCCAACCGAGCAGAGATGTTGTCAAATTATCCCAATGCGACCCTACCTAGGAGTTGGAGCCTCTAGGAAAGCAACATTAGTAGGAGCGGTATACGCGGACAACATGCATGGAACATAACGTGCGCACACACATATAAGTACATATATATATAGCAGCAGCAATAGTGGATGCTGTGCTGCGCTATGCTATGCTATGCTATGCTATGCTATGCTATGCTATGCTATGCTGCGCAATGCTATGCTGGGTTATGTTATGCTATGCTATGCTATGCTATGCTATGTTATGATATGCTGCGCTATGCTATGCTAATGCTTTGCTAATGCTATGCTATGCTATGCTATGCTATGCTTTTGCTTTGCCTTCGCTTTTGCCTTCACTTGTGCCTTTGCTTTTGCTTTTGCTTGGCACCCAGGGAGCGCAACTGGGGGAACCGCGCGTTTGCTTTTACCTGTGCTGTTGCTTTTGCTTGGCTCCCAGGGGACTGGGGGAACCGCCCGAGGCGGTTTGCACTGCCCGGCCCCTTTAAGCCAAGCGAGTAAGAACCTTTCTAGGCAGAGCCTGGGTAGGGGAAAAATGGGGGCGAATTATTATTCCGAAAGAATCGAAGTGGACAAAAAACAAAGGCCCGACACACACCAACCGCTGCAAGCGCGGTGGCGGATTGTTACTGATGGCTTCTGTGTCAATGGCAATGGTGTTGCTCTGGAAGATGAAGTTGCTGCGTATCTCTCTTGCGGTGGCATTCGCCGTGTCTTCGTAGGGCATCAGCCACAGGGCTGGAGCCCTGGTGTCATCAGACGAGCGCCAGAAGGTATCATCGTTGTTGCAGCCGATACTTCTTTCTCCGACCCTAAGTGCGACAAGTCTCGAAACGCTTCGGATATGCGTGGCATCGCCTTCTCCAGCGTGATGATCTCCGCGGAGAAGACTGAAATCTCGGGCGTGCTGCCTGATGGGACACAGCATGGTTTCACGCTGCATGTTGATTGGACCAAGGATGATCGCGCTGCTGCGCTGGTTGGACGCCAACTAGATGACGGATCTTGGGGTCGGACAGTTGTTGGCGATCAGCTGCAGACATGTCGAGGCGAAGGGTTTATTCTACATCACCGCATGTGGGATGCGTCGGAGGCCGAAGGGCACCTTTTAGATGGATATCGTCTGCCAGCCGTCACGCGTCTCTCCAAAGAGCAACCACATCGCGGCACAAAGCGGTCACTTGAGTAGACCATACGCCGCCGCGTAAAAGGTACAGCACTTATTGCCCAATGCGTCTCACATGCCAGATGCTTCTGGTCTCTCAGCCACAGGTACAGATCAAACTCCGCGGCCAGCATGAATGCATAGGTCTGCTTCTCGTCAATTACGCTGGAACGTTCCCTATCGAGTGTGCAGCTGTCTGCGGCAGTCCAGCAACCGTGCCAAGCCAGCAGTCAGGGTGGCGATTGTTCGAGAGTACAGGAGGCCGTGACATGTGACTTCTTGTGCCCCGAGGCTCGGGAGGGCCGTAAAGTTTGACATTCTCCGCGTCGTGTCGGGGAGGGTCTCTTCTCGGTTTCGTCGACCGCCCTTTTTTCCGTCTTTCTGTTGGGCTTTTGTGGGGAAGTTTGGCGAATTTGTGGGGCAAGTTTGATTTGTATTAGGGGTTCGGCTTTGGGCCATCGTGGGCAGTCGAAGGGTTCTGTAAGGCCGTGTTGGGTCCTTTCGGAGGCTCTCTTGGGCCAGCTTGGAGCTCTTTCAAGGCCGTCCTGGGCGTCTGGAGCTGAAAGGAGCTCGAATGGGTGAAGACACCCGAATACATCCAGAGCATGGGAAGCATATGACTCCAGTCTCTTCGGACCCCATGGGGGGTCCTCTTGTGGCCCTCTTGGGCCGCTTCGGGGTCCTCTTGGACCCTTCGAGGCCACCTTGCGCCACCTCGCGGCAGTATTCTTGGCAGCGTTGGTTGCTTGTCTCGGCCGTCCTTGGAAGCTCCGGAGCGCTGCTTCTGTTCGACCGATCGTGGCCGCAGGAGCGCGGCTCCATTGTTTACTCCAGATTTCGCAATAAAGAGAGGGGGGTCTCATTTCGGGGGGGGTCTCTTCCAGGCTATCTTGGAGGGCCTGAGGGGGTCTGGGGACGATGTTTTGGAGGGTTCTCCCACGGGGGGGGGTCTGAAATGGCTTGTCTTGGAGGGTCCAGACCCCCTCCCTTTTATTACGACATCTGGAGTACCAGAGATCGTTGCCCCGGGAGCGCGGATCCATGTGTCTTATAATGTAAACCTAAGGCGAATCAAGGATGTTGCAATGAATTCTCTTTCCAAGTACCTTTTTTCTCATAGGTCCCTGCGAGAAGTTGCTTCATTGCCAGAAGTGGCCCGACGAGCCACGTCCAGCAACGAAACAAGCGTCTGAGAATCCCCCAGCGCGCCGAACACACAATTCCTGGGATTTTGACGCCGCGGGTCGATGTGACTGTTGCACCCTGACAAATCTGAATCGTGCCAGAACGCCAATCCTGAAACTTCAACAATACGAACCACTGAAGCTCCCGCAAGCTTCTAAGGCGAATGCTCGCGTCGCGAAAGCGAGGGCCACATCGTGAAGAGGAACCGCTCTCCACCCTTGAAACGGGTGCAGACTTTGCGACGAATGTGCGCGGCGCTAGGGCGAGAGCCACACTTCGAAGACGGCCCGCCCTTCATCCGTGAAGCGGTTGCCAATATTGGAGGCGAATGCGCGCGGCGCCCATGCGAGAGCCACATGTTCAAAAGGAACCGCCCTCCATCCGCGAAGCTGTTGCGAATGTCGAAGACGAATTTGCGCGGCGCGAATGCGAGAGCCACATGTTGAAAATGCCCTGGCCTGTACCCGTGAAACTGCCACAATTTTGTAAGACGCATGCGCGCGTAGTTAAAGAGAGAGCCACACTTTGAAAATGAACCGCCCTGTATCCCCGAAACTGTTGCAAACTGTTTAGACGAATGCGCGCTGCGCTAAGCCGACAGCCATATTTTGAAAACGAGCCGCCCTCCATTCGTGAAAGCGTTGCGAATTTGAAGCTTCAGGATCGAAATCCTCAGGCGAAACGCCCGGCCCGCTCTACCGACACGTCTGGGAGTGCGACAGGAAGGAATTATTCAGAAGGACAGGGATGGATGAAGAACAGGAGGAGGAGGAGTAGGAGCGGGAGGGAGAGAGGGAGTTGGGGGGGACCAGGAAGGAAGCGGAGGGGGCCGTTCCGTTCCACCGCTGGCTCCCCGCTGCGTGTTGACGAGGTGGCCTTGGCGTACCTGTCGGCGGAGGAGGCGGACGCGGTGCTGCGCTGGGTCTCCTCGAGGCCGGTCGTCCTTGGGAGGAGCACAGGGAGGTACAGCGTCTTCGGGGGAGGCTCCAATGTAGTCACAGGGGGTCGTTTGGGAACCGATCCTCCTCCTCCACGTCCCCCTCCTCCTCCCCCTACTAGTCATTGTCTCGATCCTCTGCCTCCTCATCCTCCTCCTCCTCCAGCTCCTCGTCCTCGTCATCCTCCTCCTTCTCGTCCTCCTCCTCCTCTTCCTCTTCCTCCTCCTCGTTCACTACCTTCGCTGCCCTCTCCTCGTCCATCTTGTTTGCCGTATTCTCCACCCGTGCCCCATTCTTCGCCTCGGTCTCGGCTTCCCCATCCATTACCCTGCTCTTGACCTCACCCGTGAGAATGCCATTCTCACCACTGCCTTCAGCCTCTATCTCAACCACATAGCTGAAGAAACGGCTGGTAGGCAACAGGGATCGGCTCGCACGGTGCCACAACAGTTCGAAGTGTTACAGGCCGCTCGGGCAGAGATGCCCGACGACTTATCCATCCTACCCCCTCCGCCGTAGGAGCCCAGGCAACACAGATGACTCATGCCGAGGCGTCGAGGCTAAACTGACAACGAACGATGAAGGTCCTGGTGTTGATCGTCCTCCTCCTCCTCCTCCTCCTCCTCCTCCTCCTCCTCCTCCTCCTCTTCCTCTGGAAATGGGGTCGGGTCGACCCATGTCTCTACCACCCCTTCCTGCCGAGTACTCTCCTCCCCCTCCTCTGGGGGTCAGGAGGCCGCCAGACTGCACCGGAGGAGGCCACGGAGTCAGTTGAGCGACAGACATGCGTAAAGAAGGTCGACCGCACATGCACGGGCGCGTGTGCGCTTTCCGCCGTGAGGTCGCGCGCAAGCGCCCTCTTGCCCACGGGCTGTGCCTCGTGCGCGGCCTGCGTAAGCCAGCGCGCAAGGTTGCAGTGTCCGCACGCGAATCGCCTGGGCATGGGCGCGTGAGCTCTGTGCATAGGCAAGGTCGCGCGTAAGCGCCCTCTTATCCACGGGATGTGCCGCGTGGGCGGCCCACATGAGCCGGCGCGCGTGGTCGTAGTGCCCTCGTGGGTCAGACCCGCTTTTTGGCTTTGCAGATCTGCTTAATTACGTGGCCAGTGTGTGTGTGTGTGCGCCTGTCTGTTGGCTAGCCAGGGTTCCTCGTGTTTGGTGTGGAGGAGCAGGAAGAAGTGGAGCGCAACGAGGAAAGGGAGGAGGAAGCGGAGCGGGAGGACGAGGAGGAGGAGGAGGAGAGTGGGCAGGAGGAATGGGGAGAGAAAGGGAAGCAGGATCAACGTGAATCATTTAATCGATGGGGGGCTCGCGTCGAGTGATGTGGCGTGGAAAATGGTGGCGTACTTCTCCTCATCCTCCTGCTCCTCCTTCTTTGTTCCTTATTCCTAGTTCCGCCTCCTTCCTCATTCTCCCTGTGAAGTTGTTCCCTTATCATCGTCATTCCTCGTCCTCATAATCATCATTGTCATCATCATCATCATCATCAGCAGCAGCAGCAGCATCATCATCAGCATCATCATCCTGTTATTCATCCCCTCCCTCCCCCTTTTTTCTTTGTTCCTCATTATGCACTTCGGCCTTTTCGTCGTCCTCCTCCCCATCCCTCCACTCTTCTTCCTCATGCTCCTCTTTACTTATCCTACCTCCGTTCTCATCTCTCCTCCCTCCTTCGCATCCTTCCCCTCCGCTCTCCCCGGGCTCCTCCTCATGATCGTCCGTCTCCTCGTCCTCTTCCTCGTGGTCCACCTCCTGCTCATCTCTCGTCCACCGCTTCTTCCTCTGCATGGCACGCACGACACGGTCGCTCTTGCATTGTTTTCGTGGGCCTGCCAGCGGAGAAGGAGGATCGCCAGAGAACAGTCCAGGGCCAGAAGGGGAGCGAAGGCGGGAACAGGATGAGCAGGAGAAATCGAGGAGTGGGGAGGGGGAGCAACTGAGTGGAGGAAGAAGAGGGGGAGGAGGAGAAGGGGGGGGAGAGGGGTGGAGGGCAGGTCGGACGCCGGACGAAGAAGGGCACGCAAGATCCACACTGGTCGAAAAGACCTGCCGACGATACAGCAGGGTGGCGCCATCTCAAGCGGAGTGCCAGCAGGGCGCAGCAGCGAGAGCCCGCCCTGCGCCGGCTCGAGCAGGCCCTTCTGCCCGCGCAAAAAGAAATCACGACCACGGCCGCATTTTTCGCACGGAGCGGCGATGCGGGAGCGAGGATCTCAAGATGGGTTCAACGCGCTGCGCATTAGCGGCGTGGATGACGGCGCGAGGAAGGCATACGTCAAACGACGCGAAGATCGGGACAAAATCGGATCGGGATGACTCGAAATCTCTGAGAATCGGCGGGTTTGGAGGATGTATTGGGCGCCGCGGCCGCTCCAGAGCGTTCCGGAACGCTCTGAGAGCGCTCCGGAACGCTCTGGAGCAATTTATCCCGATCCTAGCCTTGTTTTAATACGCAGAGACAGGCCAGGCTCTCAGAACCGACTGCACGCCGCTCACGTCGACGAGAGTTGTTCGATGTGAGCCGTTGCCGCTATCACGAGGTGAATCCTTCGCGACTCGCGCACGACCATGCGGATCCAGCTCTTCGCAAAGAGGCCGAGCGGCATCGAGTTGTTCTCCTTGACCGTGTAGGGGATCGCGGTCGCCATGATGAGCGCCTGCTGGCGGCAAGTGAAGCGGCCACATCGAAGTGGGCCACACGTTGCAAACATCGCCTTCATGAGTGCTGTCACATCGAAGGAATCGGACACCCACTTGACGAAGCATAGCGCCGAACCTGTCAACGAATGAACACTGACGCGGCCGAAGATGAGCATCTCTTGGAGACCTTGGCGACCCCATCCCGCCAGTCGGGTCCCTTTGACTTCCCTGTGCTGCCATCTTTCAGCACAATGGCACGCTGCGGATGCGGCCATCTGTGCGGAGCACCCACTTCTCCAGGCGAGAGAAGATCGAGTCCAGCTCGTGGACCGTGATCGCCCAGGAGTTCGCCAATAGCGAGAGCCTCTCGCGTGCAGACAGAAGCGCATATCCTGGCTCCCACCAGGAATACGTTCTCACTATTGTTGTTACTGTTGCTGCTGCTGTTGCTGTTGCTATTGCTGTTGTTGTTGTCGCTCGCTATCTTCGGAGCGCGGCTGCTCAGCCGCCGAGCGGGATCGGAGCCGAGGCTTGCCCTTCGCGTCGTCCTTCTGAACCCCGGAGTGGGACGAGATCTGCCGTCCGCGCGACAGATCCGCGGATCCCTAGTCCATGTTAGCGCGTGCCCGACAGAGGTACCAACGATGATGCAATACACCTTCCCGTTCCAGGTCCATTCCTCAAAGGTCATACAAGCATTCTCTTCCGCTGTGGGAAGCACCCGTGTGGAACGCAAGCGCCTCCTTGTTTGGAAAATTGTGTATTCCATTGGTCGAGCAACAAGGGACACGACGAGGTGAAGCCGTCAAGTTCTGGAAAGTCTCCAGCGACAGCTCCGCTTTGAAACAAGAGTTCCCTTGCATCCGTTCTGCTGTTGCACAACCCTCCACCAGTGTACGTGTTGCAGCGTTGGAACGTCTGCTACGTAACAGAAACTGGCGAAATTTCAGGTGAGACGCCGTTTCGATGAGGAATCGCCATCCATCCGTGAAAGTGCTGCATAAATCCGGTTACGGTAGGAAAGCTTGACGAGTTATGAAGCAAGAGCCCCGTTGTTTAAAAAATATCCGGCCATCCCTGCAACTGGTGCACAATTATGAACGTCTGGGACCTGCACTTTGAAAACGATCCCCTCGCATGATTGTTGGAAGGGTTCAAGGCGAGTGTGCTCGACACCACGGCGACAGCCTTATTTCTAAAACGACCTGCCCTCGATCCGTACCTTGAGCTTCGCCATCCTACGCGGTAGGAAAATATCTCGGGCGAAACGCCTGAACTGCCCTGTCGACACGCGTGGTGTTGCGACAGGGAGGGGTTATATATATATATATATATATATATATATATACATATATACATATATATACACAAGACTGCGTTTGCGATATGGTGGCAATTGACGTCATCCGTTTTGGCCTTGGAAGTTTGGCGGTTTCTTTTCACATTCCCTTGCTCGTTCCTTATGTGATCTCGCCTTCGATGAACATGTTCGTGCGCCACATGAATTTTACCTGGAGCGGTTGAATCGAATTTCGAGGCGGACCCGGCGACGTGGCGACGAGAACGCCCCCTGGAGGCTCCGAAACAACGTTGAACCAAAATCGCGTGCATTCTTCGCTGGATCCTGCGCCGGCAGGTGTCGTCACGGCCTGCGCGTCGATTTTCGACATGTCGACCGTGAACGATCGCGCGCTCCCGTTTTACAGCGACCGATTTCTGACCACTGGCCGCGTTCATTCCAAACGCCCGCGTCAGCGTCGCCGCCGCGTCGACACGACGTAGACCTTCCGTTATGGAAGGAAAGTTGATTCCTGGGGGTTGTTTTCTCTATTCCAGGATATGTTTTTCTGGCCCTCCGGGTTGCAACGGCTTCTGGAGGCCGACGTCGAACCAAAATTCTTGAATATTGCAGAAACTCCAAGAAATTTGGCGGCTTCCAGCAGATCCCAACGGCATAAAACCAACAAATAAATGAGCCATCGTAGACCACGAATAATGGGGTGGCGAACTCCGGCGGTGAGAGTTCTGCAGTTTGAACTATGTGATGTGAGTTATGTTTTGGCAACCATGTAGTGCGAGCTATGCGGTGAAAGCTTTTCGGTGTTAGCTACGTGGTGGTAAATATGTTGTGTCAACTATGCAATGCGGGCGGTGTCGTGGTATCTACAGGATGTAACTTACATGGTGCAGGACAGGCGGTATGAACAATATGTTAGGAACTGCGGCGTTGACGCTATTCAATGTTGTGGGGCCCACGAGCGCCCACGATTCGGCATGGGGGGGCACGTGATGAAGCCTCGCCCCACTCATTAATGCTCTGAACACCAGAGCAATGAACCCTAGTGCTAGCACCGTT